TTGTTCAGGAGAAGTACGACGAGCTTGTCAAGGACCTGGAAGCGGAAAAGATGATCGCGGCGTGTGGTGGCTTCAACAAGCTTTCCGCTTGGCTGGGGAATGCGTGTGTGGATCTCTTCAACTTTCAGGTGGCGGACGTGGAGGAGCTCATCAAGCGGTATAGTGAGCTCAGATTCAAGGTGAATCCCAAGAGAAGACACCGCAACACCAAGTGAACACAACTTACCACTTTTCATTCATGAGTAGAGTATTACAGAGACTCTATTAAATTATAGTAGTTTAGAGCTTTTAATTTGATTAAATAATGTTGAAAGTTTATTGCCACAAAAAAAAAGATCAGACAACAGATTTGGTCGACTGGGTACATGCAATTAGAGACTTTCCGGAAGACGCTGCATTTGAGAGTGACAAAAGTTTCTTCGTCTACTTCAGCAACTCAGGCTTCTTCTCGCAGCTTCTCTGTGGCCAGTTGTTCCAGGGCCGACCTTGGTCTGTGCTCTGCCAACGATGCTTTGGTTTTTGAGAGCTCCGACGATCATTCGCAGAGACGCTCTACAAAGAGCCGCTCTGTAAACGGAGAAACCTCTCTCGGTGAAAAGGCCGTGAACTTCGCTTGAATAGTCGTAAGTTTTCAGCAGGCGGGCCTCTCGTGCTGCGCAAGGAAAGAAAAGAAATTATTTGCGTCAGTAAAGATGTTTGCTTTGTCTAGCAAAACCAATTGTCGGATTGCTGAAAACTGCCTATTCCCAGCGAGTGGTCCGCTCCACCCAAGAAACCAGCTCTTCTCTGTGGCTTTCCAACCACTCGAGATTTGAGCCAGCTCTCCAAATCTCGAGTGGTTGGAAAGCCACAGAGAACCAAAACATAGCTAGCTCAAAAGAAAAAAAATACCAAACAAAGACTTCCAGCTTTGCAGAGAGAGACGAACTTACCGCACTTTCCATCGAGTCGTAGGGCTTTAGACTCCACAGCGACCATACGGCCGCCATGGACGATGAAATTCACGAGGATGGCCACGCTGCTTGGGAGCTAACGTCCTCGTCCTCCTCGCGGCTCTCTGTGAATCAAAGAAACTTTCTTCTTTAGCGAAAAAAAAGAGATGGCCGCGCCCTGGAAACTACGCAGCGCCATACGCGCTACGAGAAGAGCGCAAAAAAATTAGTTAATGGCGATTCCTTCTGCATGCACTTTAGGGCTCCAGGGATGGCGACGCAGCTGCTCAAGCAAAAGCTCTTGGGACGGGGATTTGGGGTCAAGTTCTAGACAATTTTGGCAGTATGATGGCTTCTACGGCGTTGCAGACTTGGCTCTGCGCAGGCTAGACCACAGGATCCAGCAGGTTTGCAGGTCAGGTGTGAGTGAATATGCAGCCATCAATGCCATTGTCCGCGAGAGGCCATCGTACCTCAGCCATGACGTTCTACGAAGGTATTTGGAACGACGACCTCACTTTGTTAACGTTCGCCTTTGCGTCGACAGCTACAAGAGGAGACCAACGTCGATCGAAGCAGTCCAGGAAGAGGCAAGAACAGCAGGACTGTTTAGCCCGCCTCTGATTAAGTACATCAGGGCCAAGCCCAGCATACCCCGCCAGATTCGAGGGCGTGGCCCGGGATCGAGAAAGTTTCAGCAAGAGGTGGTCTCTTGGGTGGAGCGGGACTTGTTCGGTGGTGCTGGATCGCTGGAGATGCAGGCGCGGCTGGTGTTTGATGTGCGGATGCTGACGCACGAGTGGCAGGCGCTGCTCGGTTTCGGGTGCTTCTCGTATGAATCGCTGGTGGACAAGGATCCGAGCACACCGGATGTTGTTTTCGACAAACACTATGGCCCTTTTGTTCAGGAGAAGTACGACGAGCTGGTCGAGGACCTGGAAGCGGGAAAGATGATCACGGCATGTGGTGGCTTCAACAAGCTTTCCGCTTTGCTGGGGAATGCATGCGTGGATCTCTTCAACTTTCAGGTGGGGGAGCTCATCAAGCGGTATGGTGAGCTCAGATTCAAGGTGAATCTCAAGAGAAGACGAGCTCATGATTGCGACTAAGGCGAGAGCAATTCGTCTTGGATGGGGGAATTCTTCAATTTTGTGCCACCCTCGCATACAAGAGCCCTAATCATGATCTTTAGGGCAATTCAAATTTTCGCGCCAAAACTCAGCTTTTTAGGGCATTTTGATAATTTACACCAGTGTTGTTAATTTGGAGCGTAGTATCCCCCAGTTCCATTCTGGCCGGGCTGTGGAGCGGGGATTCCATACTGTGCGCCAGCGTACTGCGGGGTATACTGCGACGCCATGGTCGCGATTCCAGCGTACGCAGCCGAGTAAGCTGGCACGGCGGTGTGCGGACTGAAGCCCAAGATGGTCCCCGGCGGCGGTGGCCTCGCGTAAGCTGGGATGTTTGGATTCACTACGTTGTAGCCGGGCTGTGCTTGCGGGCCTTGGCTCGGGGCTGATACCTGTGGAGCTTTCTCTTTTTGGCCCTCGGCCGCGAGCTTGACGATAACATGGCGTCCCTGGAGAGAGGAGAGAAAAGTTCGCTCACGCTAGAAAGGAAAAGAAAGCTGTGGCTTACTTCGATCGTCTTGTTGGGATCGTCGATGGCGTTCCTTGCTGCTTCCACGGTTTTGTAAGTGACGAAGGCGAATCCCCTGGAAAAAAAAGCCGTGCTCGTAAGTTTGGAATGAGGAAATCGACTGGGAAGTAGTGTTTCACCTTGATTTGTTGGTGTTCTTGTCGTAGGCCACAGCGCCCTCCTCTATCTCGCCGTATTTCGAGAAGATGTTTAACAACGTCTCGTTTGAGGTCTCGTATGATAAGCCCCCGATGTAGAGTTTCCTTTGCGCTTGATCGTTGGTGCCTCCGCTTCCTGAGGTTCCCACCGAGGCCAAGTTACAAACCGTAATCCTTCCCTGCGGAGATCGATCAACGAGTGTAAATGCCTCGGCAAAGAGAATATGAAAACTTACATCGATCGTTTTGCTGGGTTCTTTCAAGGCTCTCTGTGCCGAGTCCATATGCTTAAACGTGATAAATCCAAATCCTCTCGACTTGCCAGTGGCCTTGTCGATGATCACAGCTCCTTCCTCAATCTCCCCGAATTGCTCGAAAGCCTGCAAAGCATCCAGCAAGAGCATCAGGCATCCAGCGAGAGAAGCAAAGAAACTTTAAAGACTATGGCACGACCAAGAACACCAAGTTCATGTTCAAGCCAGCCACCAACCCATGCATGAAAAAACACTCACGTCACGCAGATCCTGTGAAGTAGTCTCCCAAGCCAGCCCACGCACAAAGAGCTTCCGATGAGCAGGATCTTTGCTCGCAACTTCTCTAATATCATCTGCAACCGCAGAGTATTGAGAACCTCTGCAGATACAAAAACCCACAAGGACAAGCATTCCCAGTCAATCCATCCAGAAAAATCCAGGATGAAAAAAAGAAGAATGAGGAGCAAATCAAACACAAATACTCCACCAATGTCCTTCGAAACAAGAAAAAACCAGTCCACAAGTAAAACCATAACACCATCGCTGCCCTCTCTTTGCGGAATTCGGATCCAAATCGAAGCACAAAGGTGGAGTACCGGTATGATCTGAGAGAAAAGAAAGAGAAAGAAACGAGCGAGAGAGAGAAGAGAGGCCTTACGCGTCGGTGAGAAGTGCCACAAGTTGCTCCTTGCTCAAGGGCTCCAGCAATCGCTTCAAATCGTCCCGAGACAAGCGCAGCGGCACCGGCGCCTCGTATCCCTCCATTGGCGCATCGTGAAGATCCGACTCCTCCTTGATCTTGCGCTTCTTGGAATCCTCTTGGTGCTCCATTGCCCAAGAACCCTAAACCTAAAAACCTAAAACAAAATAACAAATGGAAGGGGATTTAAATTTAGGATAGATCAAGAAGAAAGATTTTTCTCAGCTCGCGTAGTAGATGCTCGATTGCCGCTGCTGCATCTCCTCCACGAAGAAATCCATCTCCCGGGAGTCCGCCATGGATTTCACCGCGTACTGGAGCATGCTGGAGAGCTCGCTGAGATTATTCTCGGCCCGGGCCACCATCGCCATCCACTGCTGGTACTGGAGCCAGCGCCTCATGTTCCTGGATCCCAGCTCCTGCTCGCAATCGATCGAGATCTCGTCGTCAGCGCCAAGATTTGCCGAAGAGATCCTTGGATCGCCATCGCCGGTGAGGCCGACGCAAGAGAGCCGCGGCGGGGGAGATTTTGGCCCGGATTTCTTCGCCGATCTGCGAGCGCTGCTGGAGAGGGACGACGATCTGGACAGGCGGTTCTTCCCAGCTCCGACCAGCTGACCGAAGATCTTCTTCATGATCCCGGGGCCGCTGTTCTTGCCCGGCGAGCTGGCAAGATCGATGTCGAGGCTGCGCTGGTCGAAATCCTTGCTGTGCTGCTCGAAATCCTTGGTGGTGGTGGGGAAATCCGAGAATTCCGAGGGGAGAGGGCTCGTCGCGCGGCTCACTGAGCACGCATTGAGCTGCCGCGCGGTTGCGGAGCGCTTGAGGTGGGGCTGGCCGTCGAAAAGAGGGGAGATTGTGGAGAACTCGGACGCCATGGGGCTGGTGGCCCTGCTGATCGAGCTTGCGAGATTCCGAGCGATTCCAGACCTCTTGTAGCGCTGGCTGCCAAAAACCGGGTAGCCAGAGCTCCTGGGAAGCAATCGCCCGCTGTTGTTGAGGATCCGGATGCAGTGCTCCCACGATAGATCCTCCGGCACTGCGAGGTCGGGGACGAATCCATCGAAGGCCGGCGCTGGGACTGGAGTGGGATTCCAGTGGATCGGCGACGAGCGGCAGCTGGAAATATTGTCGAGAACCACTGGCGGCATCGCGCGTGATCGATCGACCTTGGCGGACGAGACCGGCCAAGAAGCGAGAGACAAAGAAAACGAATTTTCCCCCTCCACAGGTCATTCGAAAACGGGGCAAGAAAATCTGATCCGTTGAAATCATCCGCCGCCACGTGTCACAACCGCAAGAAAGGAATATCCAGCGATTCCAAATTTTAGGGTTCTTGGAAAATGGCAGTACAATGGATGCTCGTCACTGGCTCGATCTGGGGCACCACGAATGCGCTGATGAAGCGAGGGACCTCCGCGCTGGATCGCCGAAATCGACAGCTCGGCGCGCGTCCATCGGGTGGTGATTCGTGGCTAGGCGCGGTTGTAAGAGATTGGATCCTCCTCCTGTGCACTTGGGAGTATAGCTTGCCCCTGGCGATCAATCTCTCGGCCTCTCTCGTGTTCTTCGCCAAGCTCTCCGAGAGTCCTCTCTCCCTGGCAGTGCCCATCACCAATGCCACCACATTCGCCGCGACCGCTGTGGCCGGGAGCGCGCTAGGCGAGCGCCTCCGGCTCAAGCAGACCGCGCTGGGATTGCTTCTCATCGTCACAGGGATCTGGCTGTGCTGCCACAGCGCTAGAGATTAGCCATCAGCTGGTAAGAAGTAGCGATCTTACTGTCGATCTCCAGGCACTTCTCGAAAGACAGCCTTCCAAGGCTTGGGTTCTTCCACTTGGAGCACCAAGTCAGTATCGTCGTCCAAGTCACTGCTGTCGGTTTGAAAGGCATCGTTCTTGCGAAGTTCATGGCCTCGTCCAGATGGTTTGTCCTGCCAAGAAGATCGATCACGGCGTGGTAATGCTCGATCTCGGGAGACACTCCATACCTCCTTTGCATCCCGTGGAAGATTTGCTTCCCTTGGGTGACCAGCCCGGCATGGCTGGAGGCCGTGAGCAAGCACAAGAGGGTGACACCATCTATGCTCAAGCCATTGTCCAGCATGTCGTGGAAGATCTGGAAGATCTTTGTGGAGCCATCCTTTCCCTGGCGGCACAGTCCTGCCATGAGCGACGTGTGAGCGACAGCGTCCGGTGAAAGGAGCGACAGGAATACCTTCTCGGCGTTGTGAGCGCTGCCGCATTTTCCATACACGTCCACCAGCGCGTTTGCTACGAGCTCTCCATGCTCCAAGCCATGCCTGCAAATCTCGCCGTGAATCACTTTCGCCAGCCGCGAAGCCACAGCCTTACCACAAACTTTGAGAAGAGCGACGTAGGTTCGAGCGTCCGGAGCACAGCCATGGCTACGCATCCGGACATAGATCTCCAGAGCCTGTTCTTCGTTGCCGCTGGAGTCCGCGTGGGCGAGGATAAGCGCCGTCCACAGCACCACGTCGTCGAAGAAACGGGCTCTCTCGAAAACCACGCGAGAATCGTCCAGGCTCCCACACTTCGCATACAAATCGACCAAGGAGCTCGTCACGTACCTGTCTTGGCAGCCACTCTTCACGCAAAGAGAATGCAAAGCCATAACTTTCTCCAAAGCCACCACCTTGCTCATTCCATCGTCCAGCTCGAGAGGATTTTCCCTTTCTTCCGCGGCAAGAGCAGCGATGGCTTTCACTGCGGCAAGAAAAGTCCGGGGATTTGGAGAGCATCCCTGGCGCTGCATGAGCTCGAAGAGCTGCAAGGCCATCTCTCCCTGCGAATTCTCTGCAAATCCCAGTATCAGCGACGTCCAAGAGACCACATCCTTGTAAGCCATGCCGGAGAATACCTTGCTTGCGTCAACCAAGCTTCCACACCGCGCGTAAGCGTCCAGAAGCGCGTTTGCGACGAAGATGTCCACTCCACAGCCAGTTTGATCGATCACAGCGTGGAGAGCCACGACGCTCTCCAGCGCTTTGATCTTCACGAGCTCGTCACCGAGAGCTTGCATCGCTTCTTTCGCTGCAAGACGAGAGCAAGCTTTTAGAACAGCGACGAAAGTCCGGCCATTCGGCTGGCAGTCTCCTCCAGCTCTAGCCATGGCGGCAAACAAATCTAAAGCTAGGAGCTCCTCCTTGTTCTCTACATACCCTTGGATGAGCGCTGTCCAAGAAACCACGCTGTGGCACGGCATGGCGTCGAAGATCCGGCGCGCCTCCCTCACGCTGCCACATTTGGCGTACATGCTCACCAGGCTGCTCGCCACGAATGGATTCGCAGCGGCGCCGCTATCGACAACCTGGCTATGGATGGATCTTCCCCGCTCCAGATCCCTCGCCATGGCGCACAGCTTGAGCGCCGCGAGGAGATTCGACGTCGCCGTCCTTTGCTGGAAGGGCGGCGCTGCGCCAGCGGCATCGAATCGAGCTGCCAAGGAATTGCCTGGCGCCATTGAAATATTTTTTTGGCGCTTCTCTCAAGAACCCTAAAATCTCAGCTATGGTGAAGAACTGGTCGGAGCGCGTGGAGGAGCTGCTGGACGAGGGCAACAGCGATGGCGCTGCGCAGTTCTTGCAGGGCGTCGTGGACGAGATGCAGAGCTTGCAAGGCGCGGACGCGAATCTCTCACTGGCTGCGGCTATGGAGGATCTGGGGGCGCTGTACGAGCGGCAGGGCTTGTCGATCAAGGCGGATTCGCTGCGCAGCTCCGCCATTGTCATCCGGCACAAATTAAACGCGTAAGTAGCATGAATTCTCTCTTTTCTCGGATGATTCTAAGAATTTCTCTGCAGAAGAAGCGATGCTCCAAGCATAGGCAAGGAAGACGACGAAGAAGAAGGTACTAGGTAGACTTCCAAATCAAACTTGGAGAGAATGGCGGAGACCTGAAAGCTTGCTTTGCGTCACAGAGTGGGAGAAAGCCGTTCACGACATCCCTGGCAGCTCATCAAATCCACCACCATCGCGGAGAGCTCCATCGCCTCCTCGATTCTCCCAACTTTCTTTGAGCGATCCAACTCCCAAGCGTCGGTCCAACTCCAGAGAAAACGCGAGAGAAGCCGAGGAAGAGGCCGAGGACGTAGCTCCCAAGCAGCGTGGACGCGGGGCATTTACTTACGGAAGAGAAAGAGATGGATTCCACAGCGACCATACGACCGCCATGGACGATGAAACTCACGAGGAGCTCACTACATCTTCTGACGACATCGATGGAAAGTCCCGTAAGTTCGTCTCTCTTTGGATGATCAAAGGTGGAAGTTCTTAGCATTCTTTTGTTTTTTTGTAGTTGTTTATGGAGCTAGCCATGTTTTGGTTCTCGGTGGCTTTCCTCCCAAGACAACCACTCGAGATTTGGAGCAGGTTGTCATGCCTTACGCGAGCCGCGGCGTGGTGATTCGCTGGGTAAATGACACCACTGCCTTGGCTGTTTTTCGCAATCCAACAATCGGTTTGTGTGAGTCATTGTCTAGATCTCTCACTGATTTTCTTCTTTCCTTGCGCAGCACGAGAGGCACTCGCAACAATCCGCCACCCAAAGTACGTGCTCAAAACTTACGACGATTCAACTGAAGTTCACGGCCTTGTCACCGAGAGAGGTATACAGTTTTCTTTCTCTGGTTTCAAGCTTTCTACTCTTTGTGCAGACTTGGAGCCTCCGACGACGAGGCCAGCGACATCCGCCCGAGCTGCTCAGCGCATGATCGTCGGAGCTCTCACAAACCAAGGCATCGTTCGCGGAGCACAGACCAGGGTGAGATTCACGGCCCAGGAGCTGCAAAAGCAAGAGGAGGAGCGCAAGCAGCGCTTGCTGGCCAGAGAGAAGCTGCGAGAAGAAGCCTGGGGAGGCGATTGATTCACACATACAGCACTAATCTACATCTCTTCACTTCTCAAGCCTGCTGAGAGTCGAAGGAATAGACCCCAAGTCTTCTCGACTTCCAACGCTGCTAATAACAACGCTGATCTCTGGTAAGCCTTGGATCTCTGGGACGGCTTGGTTGGATACGTCATGTTGATCCCATAAAGACGAGTAGAAACTCTCCTTTTTTGGACGAGGATCTGGCAATAGAAGGTCCTGTGACGTAACGATAGTGTCTACTTTCAGGAGTCTTCTCTACAATCAAGGAGCTCTGCTGGATTGCTTTTTTCTGTTTTGATGGCTTACATGGTGTTGCTGGCGCATACGCTGCAAAACTCTTTATCCACGAGCTGTCAGCAAACTAGAGCTCCTTCTGTAACTAACTACATCCACAAGGTTTGTGTTCTATGCTGTTCTATGCTCTTAACGTTTTCTTTTTTCAATTCTTGGTATGATCTCAAGGTAATTTTCTGGCTTGTTTGATTTTTTGGTTTTATTTTGTTAGGATCCTACATGGAAACCTACATAGCAATGTGGAGACCTACATGGAGGAGGCATGGAAGCTCTCCCAGAAATGAAAGCTTTGGGGGAGCTTCAAAAGAGAGCAAAGTTGACAAGAGAGAGAGAGTAAAAGGTTTTTGATAAAGTGGAGCATTCCCTGGACATTTATTTCTTCAAAGTGTTGGAGTTTTCCTTACTTTAATATGACAGAGCTAAATTTAAGATCAAGAAAGATTAAAGTAGCATTGCAGTTTCACAAGCAAAAACTGCTCAAAGCGTCACTAGAAGAAGAAACTTGATTGAAAATCAATTTTTTGGTGGAAGAGGGACATGTATGTTTTTTTTGGGGTCATTGGCATTAGACCAGGGTTTCTTGCAAGCATGGAAAGAATCACCCCAATTTAAAGATCACTAAAAAGGAGTGCATTGGAGAGAGGGAAATGGAACCATTTAATATTATGTGTGATAGAATTGGCACCAAATAATGTAGGTACCATTTGTGCTAAGAGATACAATTATTGAGCTTTGCATTTGATTTTGCCGTTATTATAGCAATATTTTTTATAATCCTATATAAAATATTAAATTAATTTTTTTAATAGCTACTCATGAAAAGGAGGGGCAACTTCCTGGTGGACTCTGTAGTGTATTGTCTAGGATAGAGGCAATGGCATTACATGGCCTTCTGCACCATTGTGGAAATGGCACTTCAAAGGCTAGACTATAGGATCCAGCATGTATTCGGTCATGCATGCGAGCAGGGCAAAGTGTCGGGTATCAGCAGAATCACGATGGAGGCCATCGTCCACGAGAAGCCCACGTCCTATGAAGAGCAATATGAAGGTATTTGGGACAATGACCTCACTTACACCAATGTTCGCCTTTGTGTCAATGGCTACAAGAGGGCACCAACAACGATCGAAGCAGTCCAGGAAGAGCTCCAGCAACAGTAGAAACAGCAGCAGCCACAAGAGATGCCATTGTTTAGCCGATGTCTGATCAAGTACATGAGGTTAGGCATGATACCCCGTGAGATTCGAGGGCATGGCCCGGGATTGAGAAATTTTTAACAGGAGATGGTCTCATGGGTGGAGCGGGACCTGTTCAGCAGTGGATGATCGCTGGAGATGCAAGTGCAGTTGGTGTTTGATGCGTGGATGCTAGCGCATGAGTGGGAGTTGGTGATAAGGAGTTTCGACAAGTCTAAGTCATTGGATAGATTGCTGCGGATGGACACAGACTACTCACTTGATGTTGAATTCAATGACGGGATGAGTCAAGAGGATTTTGATCAAGAGACTTATGATGAACTTGTTGAGGACCTGGAAGCTGCAAAGATGGTGGCACAGAATGGTGGCTTTGACAAGATTTGGGCCTGGCCAAGGAACACATGCATAGATCTCTTCAACTTTCAAATGGGGGGTGTGGAGGAGATCTATAAGGAATCGACTCCCCGAGGTGTTGAAGGCTAAAAGACCCCCAAAGGCATAACCAAAATGATAAAGAGTTCATTGGATGAGACTGAGTCCGAGATCAAGTCCGAGACTAACTCTAAGACCGAGTTCGAAACTAAGTCCGAGAACAAGTTCGAGACTAAGTCCGAGACCAAGTTTGAGACTGAATCTGAGATCCAATATCGAGTCTGAGACCAAGTCCAAGATCGAGTACAAAACAAAGTCCGAAGTCGGGTCAGATATCAAGTCCAAAATTAAGTCCAAGACTGAGTCCAAAGCCAAGTTCGAGATCGAGTCCGAAACCAAGTCTGAATACTAATATAGGTCGTGGGGTGAAAGCCCAAAGCGTGTGTCTCCTGGGGGGGGGGGGGGGGGCTGCAAGGGGTTCCAAAAGTATAGTAGGGATAGTGAGGTTCAAGAACTAATCTTGAAAGAACTCTCCAATGGTGCTTCCAAACTAACTTGAGGTTGAGACTGGGGCTGAGGGGCCTTGGGTGGGAGTGAGCATGGACTCGGGTGGTGCTGAAAGGGCCACCCAAAGAAGTGCTCAAAAGTAACTCCCACTCCCATAAAGGAAACCGATTGTAGTGCTCTCAACTCATGGGGAGTTGTGCCCCACTTGAGTACCTTGGGGCTCATTAGTCTTCATCTTTTCTAAGGGCTTGGGCCTTTTCTTTGGGATGGAAATGGGGGGGTAAAGGTACTTATATTAGGCCGTTAGGCCCTAGTGTTTCCCTTTGACGTCCCGAAGTTAGTGTTGCACCCAAGGCTTAGGAATTAAAGGTCCCATGATTGTACTAAGGGATGTTAGGAACCTAGAGGTTTGGTGTGCTTGATTGCTTGTACATGTAGGGAAGGTAGCCGAATATTAAATCTAATCTAACCTGGGGAGGGGGATTGGGAGAGATTTTGGAATCTATGGATGGATAATTAATGCTTCGTTGCTCATGTAGGGAATAGCTGAAACCAAATAAAACTAAATAGGAGTTGATATAATAAATAGAAACCTTGGCGAGGGAACTTAGTTAAAGCTAAGGCAATATTGGTTGAATAGACGAGGTAAATTGGCAAATTAGAAAGGAAAAATTTGTGGCTTACAAGATCATCAAATGGTATAATGAGCTCAAATTCAAACCCAACAGAAACGATGAATACAACAACAATATTGAGGATAACTTCAAACTGGGTGAGCACTCAAATAGGTAGCAAGTGAAATACAAAATGACCAAAAGAAGTCTGCGACCTCTCAGAAAAAGCTCAAGCTCTGATCCTAGCAAGGAAGAATAAAAAGTATTGAGATTCTTGTTAAAGTTAAATCCAATGCTGTAAGTCACAACAGTCAATAAGGTCCACTTTATTCAATTCTAGGGTCTCTCACTAAGCTGGCAAAAGACAAAGACAATTTCCTAGGAGCAAGTGCCACCCTCCATTCTCTTACTTTCTTTACGAGTGTTGAGGATTTCCTCACTGGAGCTGGAGCACCTTTTCTATCTAATGTATATGCTGTTTTGATAGAAAGATAGACTAATGATGCAACAATAGTGGTTGATGGATGCTAGAATTGGCCACTCCAGTTCTCTCCTTTGTTTTGAGGGATTCAGGTCAGCTTCAATGATCATCTCACGAGTCGCTAACATTTGGAATGATGTTAGCACGAATCATTCATTCACTTCTATTACTTCCTTCTTTTCTTGTAGATGCAAAAATCCAGTTGCATTCTTCTCAAGTCGTGATGGGTCATATGGCATCGGCTACAAAACGCTTAGAAGACGAAAAGTTTTGTGACGAACCAGTGAAGTATAAACGCATTGCTCGTCTTAAGTTCCAACTTTCTGAGCTACAGATCCAGAAGGATGTGAGAAATCTTCACAGTACAGCGCCAAACGCGAGCGATTCCAGAAAAAAACCTCTGCTCCTTGCTTGGTCTCACCGGCACTTGGCGTGAAACCTTTCGCAACGATGAAAGATTTCAACTATGCCCAAACATAAAATGCCACTCAGTTCTTCACCACTTTATTTTTTACTCTATGCATGGGTTTAGGTTATGGCTGGAGTAGCAGCACCGGCATGGAGCGCGACGCTTTGGCCTCCGCAGCCTCGATGCAGCTCCCAAAAATCTCTGGCCCGGTCTTGCTTCTGTGCCGCCAGCGACGAATCGACATCGACCCTCAAGAATGTGAGTCATCCTTTCGATTGTCCGGCAGGCACTGTGAAATGCGATCGATCTTTCTTTGTTTTAGGACTTTCGGCTGAGGACCTCAAGACAGGAGGATGACTCCGATGTTCTAATCGAATGCCGCGACGTCTACAAATCCTTTGGCGAGAAGCACATCCTCAAAGGAGCCAGTTTCAAGGTGTGGATTGAGCAGCATAACGACTGTCACTCTCTAAATCCTTTTCTTTTTGTGCAGGTCCGCCATGGTGAGGCTGTGGGAATTATTGGACCTTCTGGAACAGGAAAGTCCACGATTTTGAAGATTATGGCTGGACTTCTTGTTCCTGACAAGGTTTCATCCGTTTTTTTTTTTTTTTGTATTTCTGATTTGCTCTTCCTCGATGTTCTTCAGGGAGAAGTTTTCATCCGAGGAGTAAGACGGGATGGATTAATCAGTGACCAAGATGTTTCCGGATTGCGAATAGGACTGGTAACATACTGAACTACGTCTTTACCGCCCGTGTATTATCGGCTTACGAGCTTTGCAGGTTTTTCAAAGCGCAGCGCTGTTTGATTCGCTCACAGTTCGAGAAAATGTCGGATTTATGCTGTAAGAAGCTGTGGTCGTTCTCTGTTTTCTATCCGAGTACTTGACTTGATTGTTTTGGGCAGCTATGAGCGGCAAAGTCTTCCCAAGGAGAGAATCAACGAGCTAGTAAGGGACAGTTTGGCGTCAGTCGGGCTCAAGGTGCTAAATCCTTTTTTACGTTATTGCAGTGTTTGATGTGTGTTTGCTTGTTCAGGGAGTTGAAGAAAGGTTACCAGCCGAGCTCTCTGGAGGAATGAAAAAACGGGTGGCGTTAGCTCGCGCTATAATTTCAGACGAACGCGAGGAAACGAATGAACCCGAGGTTAGTTTTTTGCTAGCATGATATTCGTAGATCAGAATTCTCCTTCACAGGTTGTCATGTATGACGAACCAACTGCTGGACTCGATCCCATTGCTTCGACTGTTGTCGAGGATCTTATTCGGTCAGTACACATCAAAGGGCGTGATGCAAGAGGAAAACCTGGACAGATTACGTCTTACGTTGTTGTGACACATCAGCATAGCACGATACGACGCGCTGTGGACAGGTGATTTTTTTCTCGTTTCCACTTAGCTTGGACGATGACTAATGCTCGGTGTTTTAGACTACTTTTCTTGCACGATGGTAAAATCGTATGGGAAGGGGAGACTTCCAAGTTCGGTAATACTTCCAATCCTATAGTTCGTCAGGTTCGTGTCGATTATTTTGGTCGTTGATTGAGTGAGATGGCCTTGTTTGTGTTACAGTTCGCAGAAGGCAGCTTAAATGGCCCAATTCAGTATTGATTGGTTTCAATCCTTCCAGAAATAAAGTTCTTCGTCACACGTCCACGGGCAGGCTCATTCCTGGAGGCTTCCTCACGCCACAAAGCAGCGACTTGTTCTCGGTTACCGCAGCAGTGGAAGATGGTTTCGAAGGAAAGGGAAGAAAGGAGTGGCTTTGAAAGCCTCGACTGCTGAATGCCAGCAGACTGCCGAGACCATTACGTTGGACGGTAGACGACTTCGTACAGACAGCGCAGAGAAAGGCATGGTTTTAATCATCTCCTCGGCCTTGGACAACCGGCCAGCTCGTCCGAATCGCATAGAATGCTTCTTTTTGTGCTGGACGCCGTGATCAACGACCATCGACGTGAAGTAGTCCCGGCTCTTGTCCAGGCAGCCGCCATGGCTGCAAGCACCGTGGACAATCGCGATGCTGATCTCGTTTGGCCTGCTACCGTCCAGCAGCATGCAGTGGAACGTTTCGATGGCTAGCTGAAACTCTCGAGTAAGCACAGGTCCAAGCACAGGACGCTCGGGCATCTCCAGGAAGAGGGACACTGCTCGGTCGACGTCCATCCCGAGAGCATACGCTTGCAGGAGAGCGGCCCAGGGTCCAGGAGACGATGTTCTTTCCGGCATGCTGTCAAACACTGCTCGAGCCTCGGACAAAAGTTTGTGCTGCGATCATGGCTGTCAAGGAACAACGCTGTGCTGCGGCATTCTCGACATCACTGGGTGTTGCCGCCGCCGCTGCTGCTGCGTCGATCATCGTGTTCGAGGAAACTACATTCCTCCGCGGCAGACTCAGTGTCAATGGCAGTGGAGGGAACCAGGCCGTGCTCGGGCATCTTGGCGGCTCCGGCCTGCCCGAGAGCCACCATGGTCGCCGTCCACAACACGACGTTTTCCTCGAGAGTTTTCGAAGGTAAACATGGGTTCCTCCAAGAGCTTTCGTGGAGTGGGGTCTTCTACCATCGCCAAAGATTCAAACAAGGTACCGTGAATGGGCATATGCCACCAATCCTTCCAAACCCTTCTTGTTATTTGTTTTACGACCATTGCATGCATTTGCGTTAAGAAGTTTAGATGCCGCACCGCGCCATCTAGCTGGGAGCACTAAAGGTGTGATCTGAACAAGGTGTTTTGGATGTCGTGCATGGCATCCAGGTCAACTTTTATAAGAAGAATCTCCACAAAAGAAGTTTTGTACACTGCACCGACTCGCAGGGAATTTTCTCTTGTCACCAGTGAACGCATTCCCGCTGCTGCTCCTCTCGTGTTCCAATTTGGTTTCAATCCTTCCAGAAATAAAGTTCTGCGTCACACATCCACGGGCAGGCTCATTCCTGGAGGCTTTCTCACGCCCTTGTCCTTCATCGCCTTCCACAAAGCAGCTACTTGTTCTCGGTTACCAGTAGAGGCATGGATATTAGCGAGCAAAACATAAGGTGAACTGTTACCTGGGTCCAACGCAATTAGCCCCTCAGCTGCTCGGCCTCCGACTTGAGCATTACGTTGGACAGTAGACGCACCGAGAAGAACTTCGTACTGCGCAGACGCAGGCACGAAAGGCATGGTTTTGATCAGCTCCTCCGCCTTGGACAGCCGGCCAGCTCGTCCGAGAACGTCAACCATGGCATAGTAATGCTCCTTTTCGTGCTGGACGCCGTGATCAATGACCATCGACGTGAAGTAGTCCCGGCTCTTGTCCAGGCAGCCGCCATGGCTGCAAGCACCGAGGACAATCGTGAAGCTGATCTCGTTTGGCCTGCTTCCGTCCAAGAGCATGCAGTGGAACGTTTCAATGGCCAGCTGAAACTCTCCCGACTGAGCACAGGCTCCAAGCATCGAGTTCCAGGAAACCAAGTTACGCTCCGGCATCTCCTGGAACAGGGACAGTGCTCGGTCGACGTCCATGCCCAGAGCATACGCTTGCAAGAGAGCGGTCCAGGAGACGATGTTCTTCTCCGGCATGCTGTCAAACACTGCTCGAGCCTCGGACAAGAGTTTGTGCTGCGACAAGGCGACGATCATGGCTGTCCAGGAGACAACGCTGTGCTGCGGCATCCTCGACATCACTTCTCGAGCGTCACTGGGTGTTGCCGCCGCCGCCGCCGCTGCTGCAACGATCATCGTGTTCCAGGAAACTATGTTCCTCCGCGGCATTAGATCGAAGACTTCCTTAGCATCGGCGGAGCGGCCGTTCTGGGCGAAGGCAGTGACAATGGCAGTGGAGGGAACGAGGCCGTGCTCGGGCATCTTGCGGAAGAACTCGGCGGCTCCGTGAGGATCTCCGGACTGCCCGAGAGCCACCATGGTCGCCGTCCACAGCACGACGTTCTTCTCGCGAGAGTTTTCGAAGATAAACTTGGCTTCCTCCCAAGAGCTTGTCAAGCCGTACGCCGTGATCATTGCGCTCGCTGAAACAACGTCGTGGCTGGGCATCTTTCCGTACAGTTCCTTGGCTTCTTCAAAGTGCCCACATTGGGCATATGCGTGGATCATAGGACTCCAAGACGTGATATCTCTCTCAGGCATTATATCGAAGAGTATTTTTGCGTTTGTGGATTGGGCTATTTGGCAGTAGCCAGTGATAATCCCATTCCAGGACACAACGTTATACTGTGGCATCCTTTGAAAGACAGCCTTAGCGAATTGCAAATGCCCGATTTGGGTATTTGCTTGGATTAGGGTATTCCAAGATACTATGTTTCTGTGGGGCATAGAATCGAAGGTCTCTTTTGCGTCGATCGCGCGGCCGCATTGCGCGTAGGCCGCAAGAATCGCATTGGTAGCGACTGGATCGCGCGCTGGCGCCAAGCCGTGGATCGATCTTGCTTCTTCCAGGTGCCCACTTTGGGCAAATGCCGCAACGAGGATGTTCCAGGAGAAGAGATTGCGACAGGGGATGGAATCGAAGGCCTGACGCGCCGATCCGACGCTGCCGCATTGGGCGTAGCTCGCGACGACGAGATTTCGCAGGAATGTGTTGCCGCGGTGGCTGGTGTGGAGGATCTGGGCGTGGAGCTGCCGGATGCGCAGAGTGTTCTTGGCGTTCTTGAGGAGGTGGGCGAAATAGTCTTGCTCCTTGAGAGCCTGGGCCCTGCAGCTCATCGGCTGACACGTGGCGGTCGTTTGTTGGCTGGCATTCTATCGCTTAAACCCTATCGCATTTTTGTTTTCAAGGCGATGGAAGCGCGGGAGGTGCACATTGGTGCGATGCTCCGCGCCATGGCGCTGTCGTGCAATCTCTAGCGGGAGATCCAGGACGGATGGCGCGTCGCCGCCCTCTCCAAGGGATTGCAAGGATTGATCCAATGCGGGAGCATCAAGCCAAGAAAAGCTTGAAACGAGGCGGCCTTACGAGCAATCTTCCGCGTCTATTCTGTAGCGAGAGGTCTCCTGCATGGTTTTGTCAGATGTTATTGCCGAGGAACAAACAGAATTGGCAAGCGCTTTAATCTCTCGACAAGCACCTCCCGTAACTTGGTATGATTCTTGTCCAATTTCATTGCATATCGCGAGCTTCACCGCTGCAGCCTGGTCGTTGAACTTCACTCCATAGCTGCACAGGTAGGTTCCCAGGCGAATCTAAAAGGTCTAGACCATCGACCACCTGCATGGAACGATGTTTGTGCGTATCATTATAGATGAGAATAGACATCAAAGCTTTACCTTGGTGCAGCTTCACATATTTTGTGTTTCAAGAGCCGATTGATGCTTGCCTACATTCGGAAAACCAACGACTGCTACCCTGGCCTGTTCCAATTTGGCAGGGGAAAACAAGAGAAAAGAAAGTATGAACGAGCGAGAAAGAAAACCTTTGTCTCTTCGCTTCGAGTTTATGGTAGACAGGCTCACATCCATGCTGCGAGACTCAATAGTGTGTGAGATCTAGGAAGATTGAAGTACACATAACATTCTCCATGACAAATTTAAGCAGTAGCCAGGAATCGTTGGAGACAGTCCAATACCATTATATTAGCATATTCTAGGCATAGTTATGTTAGCTGCTACTTTTTCCCTAAACGGGTTTACAGCAGTATGATCCAAAACAAAAAAAAAAAGACCACTCATACGCACACCTCCGTGGTGTCGTCAAAATAAGTGCACCGATGGTGGATCGCAGTGTAAGGCGCCTCCGAATCAAACTTGGCCTTCATGCAGCGCCAGATGACATCACAGCGCCGCGGCACAAACCGGATGGGATGGACCTTGACACGCCCTGAGAACTCCTCGCCGAGCTTGACGATCGCGCGAGGTATCTGGGTCCGAAACTTGGGCGGCTTTTTGGTAGCGTACACAACCCCGCTCACGTCCAGGCGTGTCACGCAGCTGCTGCTCTCCACGAGCTCCCGCACAAAGCTGATCTCGTCGCGCGCCCACCCCGCTATTCCGCAGGCCACCTCAATGCGGACACACAATGGAGCCTCCCTGCTGCTCCACTTGTCGAGGCTCAGGCACTAGAGGATCATATACCACGTCTTCAATGCAGAGAAGCTGTCAAGAGAATGTAAAGTTACCTTGATGGACGAGTGAGAAAGTGTGAACACCTCGAGGGCGGGGAATGGCTCCAGAAGCTGCGCAAGGTTGAGGGACCCCGGGTCGAAGATGGACGATTTCACAAACAAGTCAAGCCGCGTGATGCCACTCACGGCCGACGGTTGGCAAACAAAACGCTTGAGAATTTGCGTGACATCGGCAGCGCTTTGGCAGGTGTTTGTGAACGTTAACTTGTTGAGCTTGGACATGCGCAGGCCCTGGATGATCCGCACGCCCGTGTGCGGCTTGATCCACTCGACGTTGCACGTAGACGGCAAGAGCTCCAGGCGCAGCTCCAGGCGCGGCACCGCGCTGACGAACATCCACCTGAGCTTGGGCATGTCCAGGGCGAGAGAGAAGTTGGCGACGCTCTTGCCACGCAATGCAAGACAGTCGAGGCTGTGGCTCTTGAGCAAATACGTCCCGGGCGACTCCACCAGCAGCAGCATGAGCTGGATGTAGACGAGCGAGGGGCACAAGGCGAGGAGCTGCTGCATTGTGCCCACGTCCAAGCCTGTGAGCATGACGCAGTAGATGAGACTGGGAAGCATTGGAGCCGCTGCCGTCGTCGTGGTGATCGCGCCGCCAAGCTTGACATCGTTGATGATGTGGAGGCACCGCAGCTGCTGGCAGGCGACAATGCTGGACCAGAAGCCATCCACATCGACGCTGATCGTAAGGGAGTGAAGAGTTTTTCCGATCGCCGGTAGCCAGCCAAGGGAAGAGCGTGGAGCGCTGTGAACGGACAAGGAGCGGAGATTGCTGGCGCTGCTGTCAAACCAGGAAAGGAAGCCGTACTGCTCATCCTCCAGGCTGAAATGTGTGACGAGCTTTGCCAGGCGCGCCCACCTCTTGCTCACCAGACTGCACCAATACAAGTGGCGCGAGGAGACGATTAGAGACAGGATCCGGGCGAGCACATCGTCGGGAAGATCATCCTCTCCACACGCCATTGACCTAACCCTAGGGCTGCAAGCACCGAGGACAATCGTGAATTTGGCCTGCTGGCCAGCTCAAACACTCCCGACAAAGGAGTGATATATCCTGTGACGTCAACGGGCAAAGTTAAAAAGGACAGGATCCCTTTCTAAGCTATAAAAGGTTTCATCGTCCTTTTTTATTCTTCTGGTGCTTGTTTATTGTTTTTGTGTCTGTTCGCGTTGACTGTATGCTGCCATAGTAGCATCCATCCGACTTGGGAGCAGGACGAGAGTTATCGCCACGAAGAGATAAAGAAGACACACTTAGACAACGTAAAGTTTATCCAGGCGGAAAATCAGAAGCAGAATGACTATGTTCTCGAGGCCAACAAATTCGCATATCTGACTACTGCAGAGTTTCGACAGAGGTTCTTGACGAACATCACGCTGCAAAAGCCTCGAGAACCGTTTGGCAGCTTCAGTCACTCGGCCACACCGGAGGCTGTCGACTGGCGGACAAGAGGAGCAGTCTGTCCGGTTCGATCAGGCTCACATGGTATCTTATATCCTTTTCTTTTCTTTTCTATGTTTTCACCACCTGGAAGTTATGACAGGAAGCTCGGTGGTCTTCTCTGCCGCCGCAGCAGCTGAAGGTGCCAATGCCATTGCGACCGGAGAACTTAAGTGTCTGTTCGAGGAGGCGTTCTTCAAGTGCAGCAAAAACGATCTCGGTCACTACGATAAGGCCTTCGAGTTCATCATCGAGAATGGTGGCATAGACAGTGAAGGGTTTGGCCTCAACTTCCGGAACAAAACTTGCTTCTTCCTGGAGGTAGGGGCACTCCCTTTATAGTTCTAAGCTGATCACACTCTCTCTGTTCTGCTGTCTGTTGTAGAGGGACTTTACTATCGATGGCTACGAGCATGTTCTTCCAAACAACGAGGAGGCCCTGAAGAAGGCCGTCGCTCATCAGCCCGTGAGCGTGATGATCGACGCAGGATGCCCCGCTTTCAAATTCTACAAATCAGTAAGTTTTTCCTTTCCAGTAACAAAGGTGCAATGATTTTGTCATAACAGGGAATCTTGACAAGCTCTTGTGGAACAGACCTCAATCACGCGGTGACGATCGTAGGATATGGCACTACCAGCGACGGAAAGAAGTACTGGATCGTCAAGAACTCATGGGGAACCGAGTGGGGAGACGATGGTTACGTTTACATGCAACGAGACACTGGAGTTTCTACTGGTCTTTGCGGGATCAACATGAACCCATCGTATCCAACCAAGCAGGGATTCCCAAAGATCCAAGACGAAGGTCTTTCGACTTCCAACGCTGCTAATATCAACGCTGATCTCTGGCCAGTCTCGGGCCTCTACTTCAGCAGGCTAGAGGAGTGAAGAGACGTAGATTAGTGCCATATGTTTAAATCAATCGACTTCTCTCGCAACTTCTCTCGCGCTGCTTGCTTCCCCCTCTTGCTTTTGCAGCTCCTGGGTCACTTTGGTCTGTGCTCCGCGAACGATACCTTCGTTTATGAGAGCTCCGACTATCATTGGGTGGATGTCGCTGGCCTCAGCGTCGGAGGCTCCAAGTCAGTGGCCAATCACTGAAAAAGCTTGAAACCAGAGAGAGAAAGCTCTCTCGGTGACGTGACGTCGTAAGCTTTTAGCAGCTCTCGTTTTTTTAGGCTTTTCTCGTATTGTGTTGCTTCTTTCGGTTAGAGCTAAGTTCGTATATGTTTTTCGAAAATCTTCCTTCCCATCATTAGGGGTTAGCTGTGATATAATATTTTGTGATTGTGATATATTATGTGTTTCATTATGTCTGCTCAAGAAGAGCAACCAAAAAAAACACTGGAGATTAGAAGCCACTGCAGCGCACAACACACAATATTTAAAAACCTACAGAACTCATCGGCTGACGCGTGGCGTGTGTTTATTGGGTGGCATTCTATCGCTTAAACCCTATCGTTCTCTTTTTCTTTCAAGGAGGATGGAAGCGCGGGAGGTGGAGGAGGACGCGCACATTGGCGCGATGCTGCGCGCGATGGCGTCGTCGCGCAAGATCTTTAGCTTGTCTAGCGGGATATCCAGGGCGGATTTCTTCCGGCGCGTCGCTGCCCTCTCCAAGGGATTGCGGGGATTGGTCCAATACGGGGAGCGCGTCGCGATTGCAGCCCTTACGAGGTTTGTGATTTCTTCTTAGAGAATCTTGGGACAGTCGATTTGTTTTTCTCTTGCAGCGAATACTATCTTGAATGGATGCTGGCAGTGCCCTGCGCTGGTGGAATCGTTGCACCTCTTAACTATAGATGGGTATGAGCTTTCTTTTTTTCTTTTCTCTCTTGGATACTTGTGACGCTGTTCTTTAGAGTTTTGATGAAGCAAATGCCGCAATCCAGCTTGTCCGGCCTGCGATTCTCGTTTTGGATGAACAATGCCGGCACTGGGGTGAGCCTCTAAGTGAACTATATCCGTGGATGATGCAAGTTTTTTTAGAAGAAGATTGCGAGAGTAAGTTTTTCTTTTTCCTCTCGTTTTTGAGGATCTCTCCTTCATGGCAGCTCTTCGTGGAGAGTCTATAATGCGTTGCAATGGAGAGACCGAAACAAATCTGGATCTGTGTTTCGCTCCTAACAACATTGCTTTGATTTGTTTCACTTCGGGTTTGCTGTTCCCAGCTTTGACATACTTTGTGTAGGACGTAACTTTGCATGTTTTGGTTTTAGGAACCACTGGAACACCTAAAGGAGTGTCCCTCACTCACAGGGCTTTGGTTGCGCAGTCCTTGGCAAAGCTTGCCATTGTTGGTTATTCGAGTATGGATGTATGTTCGAGGTACACTCTCCTCTACAAACGTTATATGTTTCTGGTCTTGATTAAGTGTTTCTATCAGGTCTATCTTCATACTGCACCACTTTGCCACATAGGTGGGATTTCTTCTGTGCTGGCCATGGTCATGGCTGGAAGCCAGCAGCTTTTTCTCCCGAAGTTTGAGACTAGTGCCGTCCGCCAAGCCTTGAAAGACTACAACATTTCTACAATGATTGTGGTGCCGACAATTCTGCGAGACATTTTGGAGCCTGGGTGAGTCCATGTCTATCTTCTTAGATCTTCTTTTCTAACAAAGCATTTTCAGAAAGAGTGGAAGTGATCAAGTTTTCCCCAGCATGCTAACAATTCTGAACGGTGGCGGGTCAGTTCCATCGCGTCTTCTTCCTGCTGTCAAGAAAACTTTCCCAAATGCACGGCTCTTCTCTGCATATGGTAAAACACGTTTGCTTTCTTCAGTAGCTGCTGAAGCCTTTTTGTTCCACGTCCAGGAATGACCGAAGCGTGTTCTTCCATGACATTTTTACGGCTTGATGGACATGTCCCACTTGGTGTGGGTTCGTGTGTTGGGAAGCCGCCTCCTCACGTACAAGTCGGGATAAAAGATGGTCGGATATTCACCCGGGGGCCTCATGTTATGCATGGCTACTGGGGACAAACCATAGAAACAGCAGGTGTTCTGCAGCAGGATGGCTGGCTTGACACTGGAGACATTGGAAAGATAGACAAAGCTGGAAATCTGTGGCTGCTGGGCAGAGCGAAAGATGTAGTGAAAACCGGTGGCGAGAACGTATACGCTTCAGAGGTGAGTGCGTATTTCCATCGATGAAAAACACTCATGCCTGCCGCAGGTGGAGATGGTTCTTTCTCAGCATCCATCGGTTTCTTCTGTGGCTGTTGTTGGCGTCCCTGAGTCGCGGTTGAGCGAGATCGTTGCTGCCGTGGTGAGGCTTCACGACGGATGGACATGGTCAATAAGCGAGCATCCCATGACGGTTTCTGAAAGTGATTTACGACTGCATTGCAGCAAGCAGGGGCTTTCGAGGTAACTCTGGGATTCAAGGCTTGATGCATGATTGACCAAAGTGATTGTCACAGATATAAGATCCCAAAACTCATCGTTCAACGGCAAGATCCATTTCCTGTGACGTCCACGGGGAAAGTTAGGAAGGACATGATTAAGGCTGGCCTTTCTAAGCTATAAAAGATTTTTTTATTTTCCTTCTTCTGCTTGTTTATTGTTTTTGTGTATGTTTGCGTTGAGTGTAAGGGCGGGGACAGAAGGCAAGATCTGGAAGGGCTCAGCGAACGAACGGACGGCTCACTGAAATCATCAAAACAGCTACTATAATCCGTCAATCTCATGCTTCTTGGTGGGCGCCAATGAATGAATGAATGAATATAACATCAATCCGTGTAGTACGAGAGTTATTTAAGCTTATAATGAGCGGCAACAACACTTTGAGGAAGAAAAGCGTGCAGCAGGCAGAAGAGCTCGAGAACTGTTGAATCGCAAGCTAGTTAAAGTTTGAAAATCAATTTCCAAAACTATGCCTACGTTGACCCAGCACTTCTTAATGTTTCTGCTGATGCTGCATCAAACCAGATGAAATCACTTTAAGTATACATTTAGATAGTTTTAATTGGTGGTGGACACTCTGGTGATGTCCATAACACACCCCACTTAATGAACTATGGTTATCATACACTACTATGGCATTTCTATCATCTCAGATTAGCATCAAGTTCCTTTCTTTTTTGAGTGAAGAACAAGCAAGCGAATTTTGATTTAAGATTTTTAAAAATTTATATTATTGATATTATTAATTGGTAATTTTATTGTTAAATGTACCAAAGGCACCCTAACAACACAAGATGCAGCAGGGAGAGCATTTGCCATGGATGTAGTGGTATGTATATACTAAGATCATAATGCTCTGAATTAGGCCATTTTCGAGGTGGAATATATTTTGTTTTGAAATTTTGAAAATTACACTAAGAGCAATTTATGGATAATCCCTCTTCATTTAATGCATTGTAATTATTGTTTAAGCATGGCAAAAACAATGTTTAAATGCATTGGACCTATAATTTAAAATATAAATATAATTTTTTATTAGCACCATACCCTAACCCTACAAACTGATGCTAATTTTTTTTAATTTTTAGAGTAAAGAATGTACTTAGAATATTCAAATAAGATTCTCTTTCGTTTTGCAATATATTTTCTTGCAACATGTACAACAAGAAATAGTGGGAAGTTCCTTAAGTCTACTGTTGCTAGGCAATCATAGTGTTCCTCTTTTCTGGGAATGAAAATGGTGGCATCTGTTTTGGTATCTAGTGCAGAGTGTCTGGTAATCTTGTATAATAATAAATATGTGAGAGTTCAAATTATTAAAGCTAATAATAATCAAGGAGGACTTAGCATTGCATTGAACGAGGCCATAGAAAAATGCTATGTTGTGAGGTCAAAGAGGTTGGAATTGAAAGCAAAAGCAAGCAACAACTACTCATGCAATAGATGAGCTCTTTACTATTTTCAATTGGGTCTGCTTAGAGGAGTTTCATTGGTCTTGCAACTACAAGTGTGCCACTGTTTGTGTGTTTTACAACCTGAAAAGCCAAAAAGTTGTCATATATAAACTAGTTGAAAGTCCCCATCCATAGTGTACTGAGACGACAAACAATCGGAACACTAGAGCAATACTAAATAGCTTAGCCTTGCCAAAATATATAGAATGTTCTTGGTTTTAGCAAACCATAGTGAAGTCTTGAAGCCAAAACCATTCACTGCAAGAGGTTTCATAATGAAGTGTTGTGTGCAATCAATAGGCTTTATAAACATTAGAAATAGGAGGCAATTTTATCTTCTTTCCTTTGGTGCTACTGCACGTGTCTTTGATGTATAGAAGAGTTGGCTTGACTGTGCTGAATCTCAAGTGTTTAGTGTTCTCAAAAGACCAAGGATAATAAAGATTTTGACGAGAGCAAGGGATAGGGTTCATTATAAAACTTAAGTGATCTTTTGCTACTTTTACTACTTGATTTGCAATAAGTATAGTTCCTACTATATAATAGTTATATTTATAGATATAATATCCTATATTTACATACATATTCTATGTATAAGCTCAAATTCACAGAAGCTTTTCGTGTCTCATTAAATTTTTGATTCGTTGGTAAGAGGTTTGTAGTTTTATCAATTGCCTTGGAATGATGCCACTGAAAATCCACCTCTCAATATCTTCTAATGAACTTCTTGCTATCTTAGCTTCTTGCTCAGAAATTTGCCCCTTCTTTTGCCCCTGCTTTTGCCCCTGGAGTGCCTTGTTGAGTACTGCCTAGAGTGCCTAGTTTTGCACCTAGAGTGTTGCCTGGAGTGCCTGGTTTTGTCTTTGGAGTGCTGCTTGGAGTGCCTGGTTTCACTTTGGAGCGCCTCTGTGCAATGTGCAAAAACATTCCAAAGCCTTCGTAACTTCATCACCTCTTGGTTGAGCTTTCTGACATCATCACCAAACACGCTTCTAGATGCACCAAGAAATAGTGCATCCAAGAAAATCAACGAGTGATAAGGATTGTTTAGACGAATCCTGTTGACTAAAAAGTGGCGAAGTTGTTGATGCTAGGCCTTCTTGGTGTTGCTCTTACAACATTGAAAATAATCTTCAAGGGTTTTAATATTCTTGTTGTGCCCTTTCCCTATTGGGGCTATGGCCTGGACAATCATCCACTCAGGCAACCCCATCACTTTCAGATCTTCTCTCATGATAGGAGCCTAGGTATGTCTTGAGCTCATGAGCTCACGACTTCTCAAACACAAGGAAAACATTGGTTTGTCTTGAACCAACATCTTTTCATTTTTCAAATTTTGCTTTAATCTATATTTCTAAATAAATTCAATCAATAAAATACAAATATAAATATAGATCCAAACACCAAAAGTGATCTAGAAACACTTCTCAAGCTCTGCAATTGTAAGGCTTGCATGATGGATGTGATGGTCGACCTTAGGATCTTGGTTTAGTTTTTACATAAAAATGTAATAAATGTGCTTGCAGGCTAAATATACCTTTCCCTTGTTCTCCCTCTGTGTAAAATCTGGACAGGTACATGATGGATTTTCACAAATTCTGATAGTGTAGCTCATACCCTTTGACGACTCAATCACAACAACAAACCCCTTAGCTACAGCACTGATGTAGTTTATTGTTGTGATTGTGCATTTCAACACCTTTGTCAGCTTGATTTTCTTTTGTGCACCTTTTGAAATGGAACACCTATATTGTACAGCCTTCCCATTTCTACCTAGTCGTGTATGCCAGTCTAGTGTTGACATTGGTGGCATAGCAGTATCAATAGCAACATTTGAGGAAGTCTTTAGCTTGAAACCAACTCTCTCCAGACTTTCAATCTCTTCTTTTAAAAGATTGTAGCTTTGCTCAACTGGCCACTCCTCTAGCACGGAATCTGGCTTCGAGATAATTGAGTTGTGGATCCGGTTTGTATGAGTAACATTAGTCCCACAACAGTAAATCCAACTTGACTGGCAGCCCTTTACCCCTAGATCTTGACAGCCCCAGAAATATGGTACTGCTGAAGAACTTGAACTTGAGCGCACAAATGCAACACACTGACCTCGACTCCCAATCATTCCAGAGCAATGCACATTACTCTTGGCATTGACTCTTCGAATTGCCCAGTTGATACGAGAAACTAGCTTATGAGCAATAATCTTCTCAACCTCTGGCATTGGATTTACTTGTGTAACAATTGGCACCTCCTCCACTCCATGTTCCTTAGTTCTTTTTTGGTGTCGTGAAATAGAATGGTAGTCAAACTCTGGACAGTGAGAGCTAGAAGGAGTGATGTTGGGCCCATCAAATGTCTGTCGACACTTCAAACAGGTTGTCCTCATATCCCCAAGTGGTTCATAACTTGATTCCATAAGAGTTCTAATAACAACTTCCCCCACCATCTTAGATATTAACCTTATTGTTGGTGTAGTCTTTTTACCAACCTACTTTCGAAGCTTTTCTAAGTTTGGACTTGTACCAACAAACCTTGCTTCTTGTGCAGCCAAAGCTTTTGATGACTGCTCAAGAGATTTAGTGAGGTCGGAGAATGAATCTTCATAGAGGGACACTTTTCCTTTCTTTGCTTTGGAAGCTCTCCAACTCCAATGTTTGCTCTTAGAGAGATTAATTGTTGGTGTAAGTGTATTGTCATCAAGTGGTTGATCCTAAGAAAAATGCAATATTTGAATGTGACAAAAAAAGAAAATGAGAGAAAACTTATATGAAAAATATAATGGCCCCACTGAAACATTCGAACTTCCCACCATGCAAACCAACACTCCATTTGTGGAAGGTGTTCAATTGGCACTTTGTTTCCTTCATACCACCATATGCACATCTCATTTGGTTTTGCTTTGTGCTCCTCATTAGTTGGTGCATCCATCCATTCTTGACAAAGCTGCTTAAACTCGTAATGGAAGCTAGACTTGATGCATCGGCAATGTTCATTAATGCTCTTTGCCCAATGAAACTCACAACTCTTCTCTCTACCTTGTAATGGTTGACTTTTATCACCTTGTATGTATCACATTGAGAATACTTGTTGTATAGCCAACCAGTTAGCACCAGTAGCATTTGCCATGAAACCATGAAAGTTGGGTTTCTTCCTGGTTCATTGTTTAACAACTTTAGACATACATGTCCAAAAGACGGTTTATGCTTGGAAATCTTGAACCTTGAATTCGGTTATAACTATAGTCAAATTGCACTACAACTTATACAAAGAATGGTTATAATGTAAATCGGTATGAATCTTTAAAAAATGAATAACCACTTACTTGTGATCATAAACATGAGCTCCCATTGTTGATCAGCCTGAAACTCATTCTATATGGTCGAAATGGATTCAGGAATTAGCTAAGTCCCCGTCTCCATCGATATCCATTCGTTGTACAAGGTCCACACCAAAAGCAGGACCAAGGGTGGACATTTTAAAGATGAAAGGGCGTTGACTATTTGAAGTCACTTAGCCAATGAACAAACTCCCATAAATAAATTCATAGGGATATTTTCTTTTTAACTCTAAAATTGCATTCAATCCAGATTGAAACTTTCCATCTCACCCTTCTCACATCCAGTTCTTTATTTTGCTAAAAAAAAGAGTGTTTCTAGTGATAAAGTAGAGTTAAGTATTAACTTATACCTGTTTA